CCAAGTCAGGTCCTGTGTAAACATCAGGGACAAGCAGTGTGTGCGGTGTATTTTGTGTGGTGCCTGGAAATGCGAGGGCACAACGCTGGTAGTAACTGCGGCCCCATTCCTGTTGAAGGAGCTTCAGGACCGACATGGTAGCACATCGGCTTCGGAGTTCAGATCAGATAAGTCCTGGAGGAAAGAGAGGCTGTGCTTTGCCGGGACTCTCTGTTCTGGCAGCAGCCAGCCCTGGCGCGGCAGCAGTTAGAGGTTAGCGAGCAGGACAGAGTCAGCTCCTCCTCCTAGGCTCTTCTCTCCTTGAATAAGATAGCTCCAGACTGCGCAACTGCCGGCAGACACCATGCGGCTCCAGGCCTCCTTCTCGGTTTTCCTAATCCTCGCCTTCTGCCAAGAGCTTTGCTCAGAACCAAGTAAAGGTTGGTATGAAATGGGGGCCTCAACGTAGACCAGGAACCGAGTAGGGACCCTGCAGGACAGAGTCTGTTTCTCAACCAGCGGGATAGGGAGCCAGTTCAGGTCTGGCAGACGCAATCAGGTATTTGCTGTGTGCCAGGCACCATCCTAGGAGCTGGAGTTACAGTCACCAGCCAAAGACACTGGAGGGGGGCGAGGATGGGGGCGAGGATGGGTGGGGGGAGACACACAGCATATGTCATAGCATAACAGACAGTGAAGGAGCCATTGGAAGAGGAAAGTTTGGGCCTGTGATGGCCAAAGGGAGACCAAGAAGGGGAGGTATATGCTCAACTTTGATGTGTCCTCTTGACAGAGTCAGGCTCCTTCCTGGGCCACTATCTCTATGGTGGTTTAAAGTCAGCAGGTGGATGGGGGGGAGGGGCATGAATGTGATGTATTCAGACCTTCTTGTAAATAGGAGGATTCCCTTTACAAACATTCAGAGCTGGAATATAGCTCAGTGGTGGTGGTGGGGTGGAACAGTTATTAGCATGTAGGAGCCCTGGGTCCCCCCAAGTCAGTAGCATCAGGAGTCAGGTGCTGGTCCTACTACCTACAAAAATCTATGCCTCAAGGGTGTTGTCTGGTCTCTCAGAATGTCAGGGTTTTTTTCCTCTAGAAGATAAGAACAACGGTTGAGTTTAATTCACACACATACACACACACACACACACACACACAGAGAGAGAGAGAGAGAGAGAGAGAGAGAGAAGGGGGATCACCTCTATTACACACAAAAATAAATAAAGTGATTCCTTCTTGGTTTTAACAGAACCAGTGAAGAGGGAAAGCAGACTAGGAACATTTTAAAACAAGGGGGACTCCACTTCCTCTTGAGTCACCTGGGGTCAAGGAGGACATTACTGTGACCAGGATGTCACACGCTATGCAAACATGCCAACTTGCCCCGCCTCCCCAATCCATTTCCATCTTGACTGGATAACTATTTTGTTCTTGTACCTAGCACCAGTCTTACAAGGCATAGACATAGAGAACCTGAACCTCTCCCCTGCTTAGGCTGCTGCCAAATTCCACCCAAAGTGTTCATCCACCCCTTCACCCTACGGTAAAGGAGACAGGTTAAGAACCTGAATCGTGCTGGCTTTGTGTCTTGATCCTCCCACTTCCTGGCATTAGAACAGATGCTCCATCTCTCTGACTGTAGTGTCTTCATGTAGCATGGTAAGCCACGATAGTTAGAGTGACCAGAGAGGCAGGTTAGCAGTGGAGCTCTGGCCTGGCACACACGAGGCCCTCTGAATCTTCCACTCACCCCAAAGTTACTAGGAAGGGTAATTACAGAGACTGAGAAGACAAATCTTTCTGTAAAGCATTCTCCTTGAAAGCCTAAAGTCCTGCATTTGATCTCCAACACCTACGTCAAAAGAAAAGGAAAGGAGAGGGTCAGTTGCAGGGCATGCTGTGATCCCAGAGCTCGGGAGGCAGAGTGCTCACTGCCCAGCCAGCCTTGCCTATTCGGTGAACCCCAGCCTAGTGAGGAACTATGACTCAAAAAAATCCCCATAAAACAACACCTAAGTTGTCCTTTGGCCTCTACAACACATATGAACACACACACACATGCACGCATACACACATATACCCCCTCACACACGTGAATGCACATATAAAACAGTAATTGCAAAACACATCTCACATAGTAAAAAATACAAAGAAACTTGTAGCATGAGGAGCTCATGGTTATTGTGGCTTTGTTGGGTGTTTGCTGAGACCTCAGAGGCATTCCTGCACCAGGAACTAGGGCTACAGAGTTAGTATGCAAGGTTTGTGTTGCTAGGTCTTGTTGCTTAGGAAGAGGATGCTTAGGGGGCAGTTCACCGTTATCCAGTGATTGGTTTTTGTTTTTTTTTTTTTTGTTGTTTTTTTTTTAGTTGTTGGACTTCTCCGTGCTTCTTATTGGCTGTTTTTGTTTGGTTTTGTTCCCTATTTTTGTTGCTGTATTTTGTTGAGATGGGTCTCCTTATACAGCTCTGCCTGGCCTGGAGCTCTCTATGTAGACCAGGCTGGCCTTCAACCCATAGAGATCCCCCTGCCTCTGCCTTTCCTGAATGCTGGAATTAAAGGTGTGTTTCACTCCCACCCCCAGCCCTCATTAGTTCTCTTTAACCTCTCAATTAGCCCCAAGATGTGAAAATTACAGTCCAGCTTATGGTCAAGAAACTCAATGTAGAAGAGACAGGTCCTGCATCCAGGGTTATCAGCTAGAAAACGACTGTGTCAGACTTGAAACCCTGCTCTCAGACTCAAGGCTCCCCTTTCCCTGCAGTCTGTCCATTCTGGAACAGACTATGAGATAGAAGGCAGACACCTGCAGGGTCTGACCGCAGCAAATCAAATCTGAGGGGGCAAAGGAGATCCAGGGCTCAGCTCCTTGGCGTCACCCACAACCAGCTGGAGACTTGGAGATGTGACATCTCTGCAGCCTCATGCAGTCGTGGGTGGCAGGGCTTATGTCGAAATCCCAGGCAAGGGAGGTTTCACTGCTTGCAGAAATGCAAACCTTGGCTTCTGTTGAGATGGAGAAGTTCGGGTGGGAAGAAGTAGCTGTCATGGATGGCCTTAGCCTTGCACCTTGTGGCCGTGGAAGCCTCAAGCAGAGGGGAGAGAAGCAAGGGGTGGTGATGGATTCGGCCCCCTTAACCACTCTTCTTCTTCAAGTATTCAGAAAGCCCTTACCAGAGCTATGCAAACTTCCTATGGAAAGGGGTGAGTGTCAAACCATGCAACTGCGATGGCACTATAACATCAAATCTGGCAAGTGTGTGCGGTTTAGCTACGGAGGCTGTGGAGGCAACGAAAACAACTTTCTGACCAGAAATCAGTGCCGCTTAGCCTGCAGACGTTCCTGATTTATCAAGCCTGTACAGCTCTCCATGAAGTCAAGCTCCCTATGGGGTCCCCTAAGGCTTTTCGTGTGTGAATAAAAAAAAAAAATGCATTCCTCTAAATACATTTCCCTAAAGTTAATTCTGTCTCAGAAACTGCACAAATGTTGGCATCCTGCTTAAAAATCTTTCCTTGTACTACTGAGAACTCAAGAACAATGGCAATGTGTTTCTGATCCTACTGCACGCACTGGCTTTGTGGGAGCCTAGGCAGTTTGGATGCTCAACTTACTAGACCTGGATGGAGGTGGGAGTTCCTTGGACTTCCCACAGGACAGGAAACCCTGATTGCTTTTCAGGCTGGGGGGGGGGACTCAATTGGGGAAGGGGGAGGGAAATGGGAGGCGGTGGCGGGGAAGAGACAGAAATCTTTAATAAATAAATAAATTAAATAAAAAAATTTTAAATTAAAAAAAATAAATAAAACTATATTCCCTAAAAAAAAAAATCTTTCCTTGTAAAATACAAGTCCATTGGGAAAATTTAGAAGTGCCACTCAGAACTTGGTATGGATTGCTGTTCCACCCACCTGACGATAAAGACTCAGAGTTGGAACTAAAAGGGCCTATACTGGGCTAAGGAAATGACCATGATGTAAGAGATGTTTGTACCGAGCTCCACACTAAGCAGAAACAGGAAGAAATAGCAAATGGAGAGGGGAAAAAAACCTGAAGATTTTAAGGCCACTTCTAATTTTAAATTTAAAATTAATTAATTTTAATTTTAAAAATAGCAAGTTTTTACCTCCTGCTAAAGCTAAGTCATGTCTTTCTGTCATGTGGGAAGAGGACAGACAAACCCTGGCCCTAGGTCCTCTGGTTTTCCTTAAGCAACAATTATTACTCTCTGAAAGGAGAGGAGGAAAACGAGCCTGTCTGATCTGTCATTTCAAGGTTAGATGAGACACAAAGCTAGGCAAGGGCTTCTTTTTAAACCACACGGGTAGGGGGAGGGCAGAGAGATGGCTCAGTGGGTAAGGGTGTTTGCCACCAAGCCTGACCACATGAATACGATCCCTGGAACCCACCTGATGGAAGGAGAGAGCCAATTCCCTTTCTGAACTTGATGCTTATGGCATTTAGCTAGACTGGCTGTCCAGAAAGATCTGGGAATTAACCTGTCTCCAACTTCATCCCCACCCCAGTGGTAGGGTAAAGGCATAATGTTGCACTTGACCTTTTATAAATGGGTGCGAGGATCTGAATCCAGGCCCTCAGACTTGTGCCGTTTACTGACGGCCTGCTCAGCAGACCCCCAGACTGTCACGAACTTCTCCGAGGACTCTGAGCAGCCAGGAAGCCTCCCTGAGCATGTCTCCCAGCATTGGCTGGCAGAGAGACACGCAGCACACCCAGGGTTAAATATGAGTGACTTCCGAGGTGTTTCTCCACCCCTAAGAGGCCCTGTTGGCTCCAGGATCCTTGGAGAATAAGCAACTTCACAGGATTGGTGCAAGGATTCACCAGAGAAGTGCTAGCACCCCAGAGACATACCTGAATCCTTGTTCACGACTTCAGAACTAATCTTTCCCTGGATTTTGAGCCTGGATGACCCAGTTGTCCCATACTCTCTCACCAACCTAAACCAAGTCAGGGGAAACAGGCAGAGTGGAGAGAGCAGGTGTTATGACGTCTCCATTGCTGGAAGGGAGCTCTTTATTGGTTAGAAAAGGGAGATACTTTTGCAGGTCCAGGAAGAAACACAAAGACCAGAGAGAAGGGAGGCCCCGGGAATGACGCCAGATGCACGGCCAGGCAGAAGCATTCTCATCCCATTCCTCAGGCTGGTGGTGACTGCGGCTGAAGGAAGAAAACCATGACATCATCAACACTAATATCTGTCACACTAAACACAAGTGTCAGCAGTTTAAATCCTGACCTAGCTTCCTCTTTCCTCCATCACACTGCATACACAGCAATGCACCGCCTTCTTGGGAGCTCTTCCTGCATCTTCCAGCAGGTTCTAGACCCATCTCTTATACTTCAAATCACACTTGTTCTAGGACCTCCTTGGGTAAGCCATGATCCCAGTTGATCACTGTGGCCTCTCTGGAGACCCAGAAACATTTATCTCCCTCAAATCTTCCTTCTACCACCAAAAAGTCCCACCATGTCTTCATTCCTTAGATCGACTTGAGCTGAACTGGCTGAATAGGTGACATTTATCCACAGTCTGTAAGGAAAATAACTATGGTTGGGGAACAAAAGAAGCTAGTAAGGGTCAGAGCAGAAATCTGAACCTGGTCTTCCTGCTTGCAATGCCCACCATGCAGTTGACATTCAAGGAGAACACTGGCATCATAGCACAGTTCAGAGTCCTAGGAAGACCACAGCTCCCTCCTAACCTCTGAAAAGCCTACTTTGAAATAACAAGCATGAGACATTGGACACATTCCCCGTCTCTGGCTTTGGTTATCTCTGTGTATACTAATGGATTCCCCCCAGCGATCTGTGATTGCACCCAATGGCTTGTCCAAGTTCTTGCTCATCATGGCTTCCTCTGCCTTGAACAGCATCCCACCCTGCATCTCACCAAACCATGAATCACGGCCTCATCCTTTTGTGCCACCTCAAGGTCAGCCCCTGGGAAGCGTTCTCCAACTGCTCCTACTCCATCCTCCCTCAAGCCTGGGTGGCATTTCCTCATCTGTTTCCCACAGCAGTCAGTGGTCACTGAGTAATGGCACAGGCTATGTCATCAATTCTTCCGTCTCAATCACTGCACTGCAAGCTGGAGGGAGTGGTCTCCTTTCTGTCAATCATTGCACTGCAAGCTGGAGGGAGTGGTCTCCTTTCCGTCCCAGAACCTCAAACAGGTCAACCAAGTCTCTGTCTCAGTTTCTCCCCTTTTAACACTTACTGTGTGACATGATGCTATATTGGTGTTTTGTGTTAGGTGTGTGTGTGTGTGTGTGTTCTGCATGTATCTATGTGTACCTTGTGTGTGAAATGCCCTTGGATGCCAGAAGAGGGCACCAGGTTCCCTGGAACTGGGGTTATAGCTGGTCGTCACCAGAAACCAAGTGTTCTCCACTGAGTCACCGCTTAGCCCCAACTGAATAGTATTTTGTTTTTAGTCATATACAAAGGGAAGTGACTCCCCAAACTTCTCCTTTCAGGGCCTGAAGCACTAAAGGTACTGAATTTAGTCCTGGCTTGCTCAGAGTAAATGCTTAACCCATCTCAGACACAACTGATAAATGCAACCGAAGTTAATGACCTCAGCTGCCTTTGCCCACAGAGAGGAGCCTTTGGAGTAAACAGAGATCGTCTCCTCTGTGTCCCGCTCACCTTCTTAACCCCACTGGCCATTCACTCTTCCCCTGCCCGCCCCCAACATCATCCTCTCCCCTAGGACACAGCTACATCTTTCCAGTTCCTGACTTACCAAAGTTCCTCTTAAACAAAAGGGAAGTTCATCACACATCAGCAAACCCCACCATTCTTCTTCGTGAAGTGGTGAACTGGCCACCTCTGTCCCCTGCCTCCCTCCTGGTTAGGCTTACCTGCCGTGTCCATTCACAGGTGAGTCTATGAATCTTTTCCTGCCCTCTGCGTTCTAGCCACATCACGGCATAATACAGGAGGGCCCTTTCCAAATATCAGGGCAAGTCTCTTTCTGAAGACACACCTCTGGGTCAAGACAATGGCCTCTAAGGCCCTCAGATCGTCTGTCCCAGACCTTTTGGCCTTCCTTCTTATTTCGACCCAGCCTTTGGGTTCTTCCTTAAATGCCCCAGTGATGTTTTTGCCTTCTGTTGGGAGCAGTGAGACCCCAGATCCTGAATTTCTTGTTTTCCCCTGATCTGAGTGCCTACAGCTGCTCTGAGCATGAGACCTTCAGGAGTTCCTGATGGCAGGAGAGTGGTTTCTGGTGGGTTTGGCTGGGGTGTGGCTATCTCTATATAATCTGCCCCTGAACACAATAAAGGGGGCATTCTTGGGGAATTCAAGGATGACCCACGTTGCTGTCTCTCTGTCTGTGTGTGTCTGTGTATTTTAACCTCCAGACCCTTGCCCGAAGCTTGCGAACTGGGTAATAGCGCACCGAGCGCAGACACGGGGGCGCGGTGCGCGGCAGCCTTCATATTGCTGCTACCTCTGCCTGGACACGCTCATGTCCCTTCTCTCGTTTCACACCTCCTTAGTGAAATCTTCACCCACTGTCTCGTGTAAAAGTTACAGTAATGTCCCTTGTCTCTCCTCCCCCAAGAACACTTCCCTCCTGTTCTCTTTGTCCCCTGCCATGTACCTCCCTGTGACAAACTACAAAATCAGCTTGTTTATCTCTTTCCTCACACACTAGACAAGAAAACCCATCCCCCAGCCTCTGTGTCTGATTCGTTTGTTCACACATCATCCACGCACTGTAGATGAATATTAGCTGAGATATCTATGGACAGATTGATTATCACTGTGTTTTCCGAGGTCTTCCTTTGCAACTTGCTATAAGGAAGTACCCCATACTTGGGCATCTCTGAACCAGCTCTCCTGCTCCCACCTACCTCAGAGTTTGGGTGTGGCACAAGTCATCTTCCCACAGCCGTTGCGGCAGCATTTCATGTTGCCAGGACACTGGCTATCCACCTGGCACTGGTCCTCACAGATGCCGAGCTTGGGGAAGTCCACGCTGGGGCAGGAGCCCTGCTTTTCTGGGTAGGCAAAGGAGTAAGGGGGTTAAGCTGGAGGATCCAGGTAGACAATCAGCAAAGCGTGGTTGAACACTGCCCTGAAGTTGGATCAACTAGCTCTGCCTACCTGAGTTGATTGTGGGAACCTGAGTTGCTCTCAGGGGTCCTGGACCCCTATTCCTGCTCTCAGAGGGATTTGAAATCACAGAACCTCAACCTGAGTCACACAGCTCTGCCATTTTCTACCCTTGTGACTGAGGGCCCAAATCTCCCAGAGCCCCCATCTTTATATGTCACATGGGATCACTGTCACTACACTGTGGGGTTCTTATAAAAGCAGTTATCGCCCACACACATCACCCTGAAAAATCAAATTTCTTGATAACAATAAGTAATTCCCTCCACTTTCCACCGTACTGCTTTCTTTGCCTTAGGACTCCTAAGTATAAACACTCCCAGCATCTGCTGCGTCCCTGGGGAACATAGTAAAGGCAAAATAGGGGGTAGGGGTGGTGGCCACGATCAAGACCAGCAACTACAAACCTTCGTGTTCCCCTCTTGTCCCCACCCCCACCTCCTAGCCTCAGATTTTCTCTCTTGGAAATGAGAAGCTTAGATTCCATACCAAGGACACCTTCGTCCATGGCCACAGCAGGTGTCGTGGTGGGGGCTTGACCTCCCTCTGATGGAAAAGTAGGGTTGACGGATGAAGAAGTATCCCAGAGCTCTTCCTCAGCCAGTCCTAAGGGTGGAGATGGTTTTAAAGATAAAGGAGGGAAAGCCAGAAAGTGTCAAAGAAAGAAACGGAACCTCTGCCAGCCACAGGATGGCGGTGTGACTTTGTGCAAGAATGTTTCTTTGGGCCGCTCACTTCCACAGACTAGGGTGTGGCAAAGTTCTTTCCCGCCCTCAGGGAGAAATCTGAGGAGTCTAGTCGGGCCAGACTGTGGAAGGTCCTGAGGGAGGGACTCCAGAGGCAAGAGGTCCCCAGGGCTCGGGTCCCAGGCCTGATGCCACCTAAGGATTGCACACAGTCTCCAGCCAAGGAAGCCACCGCGCCCGGGTCCCGGAACAAAGTCTCGCTGTGCGTGCCCGGAAGCCCGTCATGCACCAGAGAATCGAGCCCAACCAGGAATGGGGGGACCTCCCCCCTAGGCCGCACCTCAGTGACGCCCTTGTCCCCCTCCCCCGCCCCTGCCCGCATCCACCCAAGGCCGGACAAGGGAGGGCACAGGTGGATCAGGTTTCCACCGCTTCAACCTTCCAGGGGGTGGGGGTCCCTGGGTCCGGGGTGCCCTTCCTTCCCGAGCTGTGAGCTCCCCGCCTCTCGCAGCACTTGACTGCCCCGCCTTGTCCCTGCCAGGTCACTGAGGGGTTACCATTAGGCAGGGAACAGATAAAGCTGCAGCCGGCCTGGCAGCACTTGAGGCTGCCGAGGCACTGGCTGTCCGAGGAGCACTCCGCCACACACCCAGTACTCTCTTGGAGCTGGGGGCACACACCCGGTTTCTCTGTTCCCGCATCTGGGGATGGGGAGAGCAGAGAACTGTCCGGGAGAACCGAGCCCAGCCCACCAGGATAGTCATCCCCCTGCTCCAAGATCCTCACATTTCAACCCCACGAACTTCTAATTCTCTGGACCCAGAGGTACTCCTAACACCCCAGAGGAGCCCATTCCCGGGCCAGGGGTCTCTAATACTTGGGGGCTCCTTGTTGCTTGGCTTCAGAACCCCAGTCCCCTGGGGACTTGAGCCAGCTTCGGTCATCCCGGGAGCTTCCCGCTCCGCTGGGTCCCCGCCTACAGCTAAGGGGGAGCCTCCGCCCCTCTAACTTGCAGCGTTCAGGGGTCTCCCCACAGCCAGTATATTGAACCCAACTCTTCAAGAATCACTAACTGTAGGCCCCAGGGTTCCCAAAATTTAAATTTTCTTTGACCTCCCCACTTTTGCCCCCCAGAGCCCCTACTTCTGGGCACCGCACTCCTGGCTGCACTTACCTGCGCCTGGGAGGGGGGTGGACAGCAGCAGCCCCAGAAGAAGGCCTGCAGCCGGCAAGCACAGGCGACAGGCAGGCATGGTGCAGGTGTGAGCTGCAGCCTGGGTGGAGGGGATTTAACCGCTCGCGCCGGGGGCGGGGCCGAGCGAGGGGTGCAGGAGGCGGGTAGGAAGCACAGCGGGCAGCGCGGGCGCCCTGCCACCTCCTGCCATTTCACAATCCCCCGGGATCAGGTGTCATTCTTGGCTCTGGTGGGAACCAGGAACCGAGACAGCTTCCGAGCCAGTTGTAGCCGGACACTTGTCCACCCCTCCCTCTCTTCCTACCTTTCCGAAGCCTGAGGGCAAGGCCGGGCAGCCGGAGCAGAGGGCCCAGGCCCAGGTCTTCTGAACTCATTTTTTAAAGAGTCTGGGGTCCTCCCTGGAACGACTGGAGTCCAGGAATATGGAAGAAAGGGCAAGGCTGCAGGGAGGCAACAGATGCTGGGGATTAAGTGCTGAGACTTGGGGTCAGATGGATCAGAATGCAGAGTCCTGTTCAGGGATTAGTAGAAGGCTAGTCAATGGGCGTAGTTAACGAGGGAGCCCATCTGACCTGCAGGTAACAGGCCCACGAAGGAGAAACACCCGTACAATACCCAGCCCTTTCAGACGCATTTCTGCTTCTTCCTCCCACACTCCGTTAGGGCGGAATGGGGACCTCAGTCTCATGGTATCTTTTTCTCTATGTATTTATTTATTTATTTGTTTGTTTGTTATGTATGCAATATTCTGTCTGTATGGCCAGAAGAGGGCACCAGACCCCATTATAGATGGTTGTGAGCCACCATGTGGTTGCTGGAAATTGAACTCAGGACCTTTGGAAGAGCAGGCAATGCTCTTAACCTCTGAGCCATCTCTCCAGCCCCGTACCTTTTTCTCTTATGACTAGAGAGTTATACCTGTCAACTGCCTGTGAGACACAGGCCAGACATTCAGAGATTTGACCCCAACCTAAGTCCCCAACCAAAGCCGTTCAGGCAAGATTTTGAATACACATCTCTTCCTCCAGGCTATGTTTCCTCCCTTTCATCATAAGCATTTGCTGGGCGCCTACTGTATGACACATTCAGAGGGAGGGTGCAGATGACAGGCACCTTTAAGGCAGGCAAATCTTAGCTGTGCCAACTGGGCATGTGCAGGAGTGGAGATTCCCTAAGACTCTCTCCGTATGGATCTGTATGTGTCTCCATAATAAATTCCTCCCCCTGCCTTGCCTTCCTTTGTTGCCGAGAGCATCACTTTGGAGTTTACTCCCTTCTTCTCCTGGCCTCTGCAGGAAACAAATGGTTCTCCTATCTTTTATGTCTCGGATGGATTTACTTTAGCTCTGCACCCACTGACGTGTGAACCACTGTATTCAGTTACTATCATCAAAACGGGGCTCCTCAGCACTTGTCTTGGGGTGGCAGAGACTAGGTTTGACACCCACCGCTACCACTTCCCATTGGAAGGACCTTGGGTGAAACATTTCCCTCTTCTGAAGAGCCATTTTGTCATCTGTGAAAATGATGATTGGGGACTAGGGTTGACCTCAGTGGATACAGCTCTTGCCTAGAATGTGTGAGGCCCCTAGGTTCAATCCTCAGGACTACAAACAGGGAGAGAAAAGGAACAATGATTAAAGTCACATTCGATGAGAACAAGAATGCCATGGACCAACCCTGGAACAAACATGGCGTCCATACATTGACATAGGAACCCCAGGGCCAGGCATATGACTACTGCATACATAGCCATGAATATCCCACAGATGATAAATGCCCACTGTTAGGAAGGAGCTTGCTGAGTACATGCTACCCTTTATGATCCTGGCTCCCATGTCCTTGGATTCAACCAACCTCTGATGGAAAATACTTGATGCCAAAACTGTTCCTGAACTGAGTGTGTGTTGATCGTTGTTTCTTGTCGTTATTCCCCAAACAATACAGTGTACAGTAACTCACGTGGGGGTGACTTTAATACACCAAAATATACATGTGTTCTAGGCAAGCACCACACTGGGTTTTTATTTAATACTTTTATTTTTCTAAAAGTACAGCCCATCAAACCTGTCCACACATCTTTGCCAGAGGCTGGGTCTTCTCCATACTTTGGGTTTCTGGTGTAAGTTACTGTGGTTCAGTGTCTTGAAGTGGTTTGGTAAGTCCTTTACTAAGAAGCTCTAAAGATCTTGCCCTGGAAATCCCAAATCTCATCCTCTCAGAGGTCACAGCGGAGTGATAGACTTCTAATCGGGGCCTTCTGACAGTTCTGCCATGATAGGCTAGGTTTCTGAACACACACAGATTTAGACTCAGGCTTCTTGGTAGCTTTGCCCCAGTATGTTTCTTTCTTGTCAGCTCTCTGGCATCTTCCTCTTGCCATCCTCAGGCAGCACGACAACTCTCTGAGAACACTGGGACCCACTACAGCCCCACTAGGAGGTAGTAAGAGCCAGAGATAGCATATGACTCCAAGGGCGCAGTGTCGTGCAGATATAAGAGACATGTGTATCGTACATTACACGTATACACTCATACTCTGTGGCAGCACAAACAAGATCTGCACAGATTCAAACCAAACAAAATCCCTGTGCTGAGAAGGGAAGTGGACATCAAGTCCCACCCCAAACAAAAAAGTTATTTGAAATTGATATCTGCTGGGAAGGGTAAATTCTCTCTGATAGAGTTGTCAAGGGGCACATCAGCCACACTCCCAGCAGGCCCCTGCCAGGAGAACCATCTAACATAAAATGGACTTCATTTTTTTGTTTTGTTTTGGTATTTTTTTTTCTTACTGGATTTTTCATTTGATTTTTCATTTTGGGGGAGAGAAAGAATATGAAGTTGAGTAGGGAGGGAGGATGGGTCTACAAAAATTTGGGGGAGGAAAAGAATATCATAAAAATATATGCTATTTCTTTAAAATTTAGGAAAGAATTAAAACAAATATTGCTGGGGGAAATGTCAGGATGTGGGGAGTCACTGCTTTGTGCAGGGGACTTGTGTGGGTTCGGGTGTTTGTGGGAGACCAGTTGTGTATATCAAACTCCAGAATTCAGAGCGGCAAATGCCAAAACAATGACCAAGTTACACAAGAAGTACCTGCAAGCATGCTTCTAGCTCCAGCTATCCAAGATTCTCTAAGGCCCAGGGGGGATTTTTCTGCTGTGGGGGAGAGGTATCTGCAACAATGAAAACTGGGAGGTCAGCTGGGGAGGGTTTGGTCATAGGGACGCATCCAGCTGCTGAGTTGGTGAAGGATATTGGTAAAAGTGGCTGAAACCGTCTCCTCCAGCTTTGCAGGCTGGGGACTGGAGACATGCCGTTGTTGGGAGGGGCTGGGGCTATTTACTCTGAGCTCAGAGAAAGTCAACAGCAAGAAAGGTGAGAGCTAGGTGGGGTCACAGCCCTGGACAGGCTCCTGAAACCCAGAGCACACAGAGGACACTTTGGGGAGCAGCTGGTTTAGCCTGGAGACCAGATGGCTACTGGACATTTATCCTTGGGTGCTGCTGCACACAGCTGTCTTCCAGAACTTACCTAGCGTTCTTGGACAGAGCGTGGTCAGGTCCCAAAGCCCTCCCAGGCTGTCATAGGCTCTCTTGTTGATGGGCACTCTCTTCTGGAATATAGATTAGTGTGAGGTTTAGGGAATCGGGGGCTGGTAGAAGATGGGGAAAAAATTCCCAAGGTCAGTGCTGTCAGATGCTCAGCTTTATTTTGGTGCTTGGCTCTGAGCTAAGATGTCCTGTAGTTTCTCTTCTGTATAAGTAAGAGAAGAGCAGAGGCTTTCGGACCAAAAACGCCCAAGTACAAGTGAGGTGCAAATAGCTTCTGGGCTGAGACTCAGCAGAGCTTCACCTTGAGGGGCTATGATGTCTCCCACAAAATGGCCAAAGCTGTAGCATCTTGTAGGATTGTTAAAAGGATTAAGGAGAAAAGCAAAAACGGGGGTGTCCGATCCAGCTGGAGCCCGTCTATTATTAGCCCACACGGTAAATTCTGAGTCTGTTGCCAATGTTTAAAAGTGGAGAATTTCACATAAAAGAAATAACCTTTTCAATTCTCTTAGAAATAGTACAGGATCTGGCAGCAAGCCCTCAAACCCATAAAGCAATTATCAGCTAGAAAGTAGCTCTTCAAAACGGGGTTTGCACCACCATCACCTGAAGGGCTCGTTGCAATGTAGCTGGTGGAGAACTAGGGCTGTAGCTCAGTTAGTAGAGTGCTTGCCTAACGCACAGAAAGCTCTGGGTTCAATCCCCAGCACTGCTCATACTGGGCATGGTGGCTCTTGTCTGCCTGAGGATCAGACTTTTTAAGTTTAAAGCCAACCTGGGCTCTGGGAGAGCAAGCCCAGAAGGTGTCTGGGTGTAACCTGAGAGTGTACACTCATAACAGAGTTCCAGCTGCCACACTGAGGGCGCCACGACATAGGGCTAAGCTGGTATGCTTTCTGTTTATGAGAGAGCTCTCACCTTGCTGTCCCGTGTGCCCCAGTGCCCATTGCTCCCCTCCTAGCAACGACCTAAGCACATTCAAATCTGTGGCCTGTGGGGTAGGCGTGCTCTAGAGCTCACTGGAAAGCAGCGTGTATCTACTTAGTAAGATTGTGGGTTGAGAAGCCTCACTCCCATTTTGCAGATGAGAAAACTGTGAGTCCATGAGGCAGAGTGACTTGCTGAGGGGAACCCAGGCCATCAATTGTTCCTGTGGCTTCAGTTATTCCAATATTATACCTACCCACCCCATTCCACACATATTCCTAAATTTAAAAAAAAATTGCAGGTCTTTGTGGAGCATGCCTTTAATCCCAGAATTTAGGAAGCAGAGGCAGGCAGATCTCTGTTGAGTGTGAAGTCTGCCTGCTCTGCACAGTGATTCCAGGTGACCCAGGACTACACAGTGAGAGAAAGAAGGAGAAGGAAGAGGTGATGGAGGGGAGAGTAGGGGGAAGGAAAAGTAGAGAGAAAAGGAGGAAGAAGTAGAAGAAGAAGAAAAATTAATTAGTTGATTAATTGGGCTTCTGAGAAGGCTCAGAGGGTAAAAGCACTTGCC